GATAAAAAAATTACATTTGTACTAAACAGGGACGAATATAAATTCAAATATTTACGATTACAAAGACGAACGCCGAAGGTTTTTTCTGCGTCATTGCAATCTGATTTTGCTCATAAAACACATCACGCTCGTGTTATTTTATGATCTTCATGATAATAGATTTTATTTTCAAGGCTTGTATATCTGATATGGATACAAGTTTTCGATCTTTACAGATGTTTGTTGCATGTATGTAGTCCATTTTATCTTCTCCAGGACAAACAAAACGCGTTGCTATAATAAGAAATGTCGGCAAAAAAAAACCGGAGAGAATACTAAGCAAACGCACGCATCAACACGCATATGTCATTTCTTCGACTCGTAAATGTGCAAGTAACCCGCTCGGAGAATAGAGGAAATAGTGTCCTGTTCTCGATCGAAAGTCATCATATTCGACAACGAAAGAAAGAAAAAGAAAAGATAGAAATAGAGAACAAGACTTTTTTTTTCTTTTCTTGATTAAATGACTTTTGATCCAGTTTTCTTTATCATTAAAACTATAATCGAACGATAACGAGAAACTTATGCAGTCAACATAAACAATAGATATATCTCGATTGACAGATCACGATCAACATCTGATTTTTTTTAACTATTTCATTGAATCAATACTAAATAGTCAGTTCTATTGATTCCATCTATTTAATCAATAATGCTTAAATGCTTTAACATGATCGAAAAAGAAATATTAATACGTTTTTTTTTATTTGTGAAGATTAGAATTATTTTGACTAGAAGAATAATAAACCTTTCTACCTATTACAATCTCTAATGATTATAAATACTTTTTTTCTTTTCTTTTCATTCTCTACAAATGCAAACATCTCACTCAAAATGTTTAGAGAAGAAAAACTACAAATCAACTTACGCTAAAACATTTACACTTACGTTAATTCATCTATTTAGTATATAAAACATCATTAATATACATACTATGATGTTGAACGTAAATTTTGTTTCATATTAAATCACAATAGAAATAAAAGAAGACTATCAATATAATTATTATGTGAATTGTTTTACTTTTCAATAACTAAACGAATATTGTACAATATCTTTCAAACAACGATGATAGTTTATTCCAGCTTATCAATCTATATATCAAACTCTGTCACTATCTTGTGTCAGTAGAAATGGCAAAAAAGAAAACAAACGAAAGAAAAATAGAAAACATACGATCTTGTCATACTGGATAGATTCATGACTATTATTGTTCTTCTTGTTAACAAACGACGATATAAAGATGATAACGCGGAACTAAACATATGTGAAAGAGAGTCAAACTGATGCGCAAGTGTAGTCGTTTCCCACATACACATACACACACACACACACGGCGTTTTACATCATTGCCAAGATACTATGCAGCTTCTCTCGTTCTTCGTATTCTATATTTTTGCTACCGACAATAGTGCGCGTTCGGCAGCAACAACGACGGCCAATCTTCACGCACACGCATAAGCTTTTTGCTTGTGTCGCTCGACACTGTTCGCAATAGCAAAGCGAAAAAAGCCACCATCACATACCAAAGTCTTTTTTATCAATAGCGAAGCGAAGAACTGTGATGATAGTGTGATAGCGGCATTAAAGTAGGGAGGAAAAAAAGAGAAAGAAGAAGAACAAGAACAAGAAGAGAAAACGAGAAAGAAAAAAAAAAAAGAAGAAATCCAGCCTACAAATTTTATAATATGAAACGCACAAAAAAAGAGACAAGTGTCGATGGTAAGGATATAGAAAGAGAGAGAGTAAGATAAAAAAAAAATAACCGATTGCGAAAAAGAGAGAGACCTTGAGAGAATCAAGTAATTCAGTAATCTGATATTTTAAAACAAGATACGTGTTTGACTAGACAGTACTGTACAATACAATAAAAGAAAAAAAATCAAAAACAACAAGATAAGCATAGATTTGATCACATCAAGGTGTATTTTCAATTAGGAAATAGATCTATAAAGCAAGCATAAAAAAAAGAAAAAAAAAGCAAGTAATCATGAAATAAAAGTAATCAATATCCTACCTGTATAAGCTGGTGGCTCATCTGTAGAAGTTATTACTGTTGATTGAACAAGATTAACTCTTCGATCATCGTTAGATTGTAATGTATGTTGAATATTTTTCGTTCGATTTATAGTCTCATTAGAAATTTGTGATGTTGATGATTCTGATAATTGTAAATGGTATCTATCAATAATCGATGATTGAAACTGATTTTGCACCGATGCAAAATGTCGATGTTGATGATGACGATAGTATTCACGAATACAATATATAATACATGTTATTGAAACAATCGAAACGATAAGAACAATTAAAATCGTTTGATTATTTTTCGATGACTTGTTTTTGTCAATAGGGTGCAAATCTAAAGAAAGAATGTAACATTTATCCAAGCTCAAATATTTTTCTTTTATTTAGTTGATATTTCATTTTATAAAAAAAAAAGGAAGAAAAAAAAGAAAGCGAATAAATTTTATTACCTGATAAGACAGGAACCGTTATATATGGTCGTTCTTTTCGAAGCCAACAATTACATTTAAATGTAAATTTAATATGATCATGATTGTTTTCTATGATAATTCGATCCAAAAGCCAATCAGATTGAAATGATGGAAAATTATCACGTCGAATCTGGAATTCCAGAATTTAAAAAATTAATTAAAATGAAATTTCTATTCGAAGTAGATAAGACAGTTTCAAAAATGCTTTTAGCAAAGATCAATCCTTAAACATTATCATTCACGGAATATTTCTATGCTTTGTAGCAGGACATTTTCATGATTATTAATGAAATTATAAGATAAATGCTCGGTTTTTTTCCTTATTATGATAATTTTTAATATCTTGATTGAACGATTAAGTCAGAGAAAAGACTTGACCTAAATGTTACAAAAAAAAACTACTAGAGAAATATAATTCTAAACAAAAAAAAATAAATTGAAGTACAAACAATACAATATGGAATATTTTGAAACTCGATAAAGCTTTTTTGAAATCGAGGAAATTCGTATTATTCCAGTTTATAACTGCATTATTATAGATTTATTTCGAAATAATTTTAATAAATATATGAAAAAAAATATGCTTTTGATCGTCGATATTGTATTCTATATAGAATAGCATTAGACAATATCAATATGAATTATGAATGAAAATACTTTGATGATTAATTTAAGTGCATGTAATCCTTTGTATATTCATATATTCTATTAAATAAAATATTTATCGTTTACAAGGCAATATTTAATATAGTTGTAAATTGTTTTTTTTTTGCAATTAATTCGTTATTTTTTATATATTTTGACAAAGTTAATTTATAATTCTAACAATTGAATTACATATCGATCGAATGACTATGCAACTATTGTTGTAGAACAGTCGAAGTTTAATTAAATATATTCTATTAGAAAATCCATAGAATACAGTTTTATAGTTGAATTAGAAATTCTTTCAATGATTTCTATTGTCTATTCATTAATCATCTTTTTTGTGATTGATGTAGTCGAAAACTAATGTTTTTACAGCCATATGTATGAGTAACGCTATTGTAGCATATGGAATGAAAATAATATAGTACATCTGCTGAGCATGTAAATAGAACAAGAGAAAATGGAATTATTTCACACTGAATAACATTTTCAATGAAAAATGTTGTAAATCGATACAAATGTTATATCACAAGAAAAAAGAAAGTATTGGAATTTTAAGATAATTTTGATTATATTCATGTTTTAGCAAATTTTAATAATTGTAGTATCATTCTATTAAGAATATTATTTTTATGTTTTAGTTCATATAATTCCTAGGAGTAATAGATTTTGGCATGAAAACATCTAATTAAACAAAAGTTTTGTCATAATATAAAATTTCAAATAAATTCATTTTGCTTTTATCTTTTTAGATATTTTCTGTCAAAGTTATTTTCATAACTTGATCATAGGAATGTGTAGCGTTAGTGTAAATGCTGAAATATTGAACAGTGAGTCACAAACAGAGAGCTCACTGGGATACTAATTACACTCACACATTGACATCTGAATGTGCTGTAAAGTCAACGCATAAACTTTATCAAAAGATGACTTTTTGTAGCAATATATACTAGCGTTTCAGTAAACACTAAGTGCATAGTCAATAGACTAAAAACTGCACATCTCTATGAGATCAAATAACAAGTAAATTCTATGATTGACTTAAGTCAGTATTAATAATTTAACTTATTTTTTTCTTTCTGCATATATGAAAAAAACCGCGTTCTTATATCTTCTGAGAAAAAAAAAATACCATCGGCTATATGTGCTTATGATGTTTTATATTTACTATGATAAAATAATGTTAGCTAGAGCCTGTCGAGTCAGTTCCGGATCCGGATCCGATGAACTCTATTGTCAACACAATCTAAACTATTAAGTTGTTGATTGTACTACATTCATTCATTTAAAATTTACTTGTTTTAAAATGTTTCAAAACATTAAAAAAAAAAAATTTTCTTACACGGATTTTCTCTACAAATCCAAGTTTATTGGTGAAAATTCGAAATCGATCATGTCCACCATATTCAAATAAATTTTTTAATGGAAAAATAGTATTGCCAAATATCCAATTCTCATGCGTTAATTTATATTCACTAGTATAACCATATTTTGAATCAAATAAACGAATAAAAATATTAGTATCAGTTCCAGCAAAACGTTCATTGCCTGTATATACATGAATAATCCATTCTATAGATAAATAAGAAACTGAATAAAATTCAAACTCAAATAAAAAAAAAACGAATTTACCTTCACTCAAAGAATACGAAAAAATAGAAAGTATGTAAATTAATATGAATAACATGAGAATATTTTCATCTGAAAAGAATATTTATTTCATCGATGTTCTATTGATGATAACTTGTTATGAGAAATAAAAACAAAACAAATAAATCTCAAAAAAAAAACCCTTTTAAAATAACAAGAAAATATTCATATAGTTTCATCTGAATACCATTCAGATTGTAATAGATCACTTCGACACATTGGACATTTTGAATTTTTCTAAAGTTTAAAACAAAATTTTTTTTTTATTCAAACTTAATATAAATAAATTTATAACCTTAAGCCATTTATCAATACATTTACTATGAAATCTATGTAAACACGGAATAGTTCGTAGTTTATCATCTGGTTTATATTCATTTAGACAAATATCACATAGAACACCAACTACTGATGCGTCTTCAGCAGTTGTTGTTGGATAACATTCAATTAAATGTTCCGGTAAACCTAAATCAAGAAAACTATCGTCATTATCATCAGTTTGATCTAATAAACTATGATTTTCTTGTTCAGAATAAAAATCTCCTTCATCATCAGTTTCCCAACTAAAGGCAAAAAGTAAATATGTTTTTTTTTTCTTGAATACATGAATAATCTTCCAACAAACCTATCACTTTGATCAGCTAGAGCAATATCGATTTCTTCAATTTGTTGAGATGATTCTGATACACCATCTATAGTCAGATAAGAATACGAATATTTTAAAATATATTTTTCTATGAAATCATACTTTCTGATTGTAATTGATTCGTTGAATGATCTGTTGAAAGTGGAATTTCTTGAGCACTTTGATTATTAGTAGACATTGTGTGGTTTTCGGAAAATAACTTCAGAAAAAAATACTATTAGTTCATGAGTCATAAACGTTGAGAATGAATGGATAGCTCTGTTAGTCTTCTTTTTCTATCTATTTTGGGTATATAGAAAACATTCGACAGATGTCGATAATAAGCAATCATTCGTCTTCAGACTCTTTCTAAGGATCATCAGAATATGACTTCTTAAAATAGCTGATTTAATTACTTGAGAAAGCTCATTCTTCGTTTTGTTCCTTGCTTACTAAACATTCGACACCGACACCGAATCAAATAAACAAATCATGGGATTCAAGTCACGAGAAATCCTCTGAAGATGTTCCTTTTTGATTTCTATAATTTGTTTTTCTATAGGTATTACATGATGTTCTAGTAAAAATCTTAAAATAATTTGGATCCCCATTAATATTTGACTAAGTTATTGAATTTGGAAAACTCGTCTTTTCCAATTTCAATCTGGAAATTTGCACGAATATAGAATTCTACTAGACTAAATTTCATAAAAGAATTCACAAGTTTTTAACAAAGTTGTTTTGAGATATGAGACTTCGAAGGTATAAAACCTTTTCCATGAATAGTGTATACAGCATGCAGTTTGAAAACTTCTTATCTCAAAGATACTTTGCTCAAAACTTGTGAATTTTTTTATAGAAGCTAGTCTAGTTGACTTCTCTATATGCGCTAAGTTTCAGATCAAAGTTCGAAAATACAACTTTTTCAATAATCTGCTCCAGATAATTAGACATTAAAAATTCGATAACTTACGAGGGAACCACCCCAGGTGTTAAAAAGCTTTTGAGCTCAAACTTGGTCCATAAGTGAGGTCTGTATAGACTAGCAACACCCTGAGAGGATTCGGGCGCAAGTTGCGATTTAGCTGAGATATCGACTTTTTAGCTGTTCGCACAGAAAATATCATAAAAATAGGTAGTATTTGGAGATTTTTCACTATCGAAGGTCTATTTGTATGAAAAATAAGTATGATATTCGGAATCGGCATGCAAAAGTATACCAGAACTCTGGTTTTCATCGTAAAAATTTTCCATTAAAATTTGGACCTCTCGAGGGATACAGGTTAAAGTTATAGGAATAAATGGCTGAGGGAGAATAGAGGTCAAAATTTTGACGGAAAATTTTTACGATGAAAACCAGAGTTCCTGGTATACTTTTACATGCCGATTCCGAATATTATACTTATTTTTCATACAAATAGACCTTCGATAGTGAAAATCTCCAAATACTACCTATTTCTATGATATTCTCTATAGAATGACTTTTCTCTGAAATACTAAGTACCTTGCTAATATTAAAATGTTCAATGCCTAGCTCACTGATTTCATATCTCTACATAATCCTCGATCAAAAGACAGACAAAGGGAATAAAACTGTACGGGAAGTAGAGGTGTCAGTTCCTTTGATTTTGGCGGAAAATGGGGTCCTAGAGGAAAAATTACAGTAAAACATCGATATCTCAGCTAAATCCCAACTTATGCCCGAATCCTCTTAAGGTGTTGCTAATCTATACATCCCCCACTTATGGACGAGGTTTGAGTGCAAAAGCTTTTTAGCACCTGGGGTAGTTCCGTCGTTAGAGAAACACAAACTTTTTAATGATTTTTATTAGAAAAACGATGTAGTATCTGTAGGCAGAAAGTCACTGAAATAGAACGGGGATATTTGACAAGGCTTCCTTGTCAGTCAAGTAGCATCAAATTACAATTTGAGTATTTTACAAAATAGGTCGAATCAAATGGAGAGACTTTTATTCGGTTCGTTCTTTTAATCACAAAATCATCGGAAAAAAAGAGAAACGATCAAAAACAGAAGAAATTGAAATGTATTCAATTAGAGTTTGATAAGTACGAACAAGATAAAGATAACCAATTATCTTGTAAAAAAAAGCAAGTTCTAAATATAGGTATCATCTTTTGCTGAAAGACAGTTCTCATTATTCTATTTGAACATTCATTGAGTAATAGTTGAACGTGATCAAGCCAAAGAGAGATTGAACAAAAATCATCTGCTATGAACACCAGATAAAAAATCCAGAACAATGGCTTGAACTTTTAGATATGTATGTGTAATTGATGTTGATTAGATTGACTTCATAATTGTTGTGTGAAACAGAATATTGATTCAAATGAGGTATACACATACAAAAGAAAAAAACAGCAGTTTGGAAGTTATAATCAAATTCATGACATAGATGCGCATTTAAAATAAAAAATATTCCTTGAAAGGTTAAACTATTTTCTGATAGCTAGTTATATACACACTCATAGCAATCTTTTACTATGATATGTTTAATAATACAACGGTATACGTACATTAGAAAAAAAAATTCATATTTGTAAAAATTTCGAGATTGTTCAGTGATTTCTTATGCACCTTTTCAATTTATTCCTTTCAAATGAGTTTTTTTTATTGAGAAAAACGGTTTTCCTTTTATTATACAGATTTTTTAATCTAATTTTCGCAGCAATCTGTTTTCGTTCTTACAGTTCTAATAGATGCACTCAATGCATGAAATTCCTAATCTTCCAACCATCAGTTCTATGATTGTTCTTGGATTCATTAATATCCAAATATCATGAACAACTTTACAATTTAAAATTTAATTTGTATCGCACTGTTCATTTTAAATAAATGTCCTTTGAATTTGTATAAATAAATCAAATGTAGAAAAGATGATTAGGACAGGAAAATAGAAAAACTAGCATCTCGATTAGAAAAGAACATTAAAAAGCAAGTAGTACGTAATATACGCGAATATTACGAATACCCTTGATCTATACAAGTATGAATCAAATCGAATCTGAATGATAATTGTCTTATTCATTTCGACCTATGAAAGAGTGTAAATGTTTGATATGAGATTTATAAGTGCGGAGTTGTTGTGGGTAAGATATAGTTCTTCTCTATATCCTCACAACCTACCGAATCCATATCTACACTTACGTCCAGAGATTTCGATACATATACAATGAACAACTATTTTAAAAGTAGATATATACGAAAATTGTAATCATGATTATTTTTCATTTCTGACTAAAGAAAAAAAAACTGATGTAAATAATAACAATAGACTAGTTACAAGAGTAAAATATCACATTATTATTGAAGAGTATATAATCATATTATCAATAGAAATTGTATACAGGAACAAAAAGAAAAAAAAACAATTCATCACGTGAAAGTTTATTATTATGGAGGACAATATGTTCAACCATTTGATGATTATTGATTCGATGGCGTTCGACAAACGGGACACAAACTACTAGTCTAAACATAGGATAAAACACCAAAGTCAAATAGATTTTAAAATGAAATACAATTAGAATTAACTTACTTTTAACCAATTATCTATACAACTTTGATGATATCGATGAAGACATGGTAACCGACGTAATGTCTGATTTGGCTCAAAATTATCCCAGCAAATACTACATTGATTTTCTTCAGCAGTTGTATTTGCTGAATGACGAAATTTTTCAGTTGGTAATGTATTAATTTGATCATTGGATAAAGCTTGTTTATTAACTGACGCATCTAGTTCCAGTAAATTCTACAAATGAAAAATATGGATCATAATTTAATATAATTTAATCCGTAAGAATTTACTTCATAATCATCTGGACCAAAATCTTCTTCAGTATTTTCAATATTTCTATTTCCATGACCGCGGAAACGATGAGAACCACGAAATGATTGACCACGAGAGGTAAAAGCTCGTAATAAAGATACAAAATTATTGTTAACATGATTATTATTTCCACTGAACGAAGGAAGTTGATTTGTAGGATTAAAAAAAGGTGGATTAGTTACACTTCCAGATGCATTAGATTGAGGATTTCGATTAATTGTTGAATATGGTATTCGTCGTTGGTTATCTTTCTGTTGTTGTTGTTTTTGATTTTCGTCTGCTTGTAACTGTGCTGCTAATTCTGCATCACCAACTATGAAATCATTACCAAAATTGACAATAGCGTTTGATGCTGCTCTATCGTTTAAATTTTGTTGATATGATAAAAATGGTGTAATACTATTTTTTGAGTATTCTTCTTCTTGAAGTTGAAGAGCATAAGCTGCATCAGCATCGAGTTCTTCTAATGGTCTCATATCAATTGAAGTCATCACTTCGGATGATGGTTCAGTAGTACGACTTATAGTATCATAAAAAAGTTGTTCCTGATATTGCTGAGCTATTTCTTCATCATCGATGTTGTTTGACGCAACCGCAGTATTGATTAAAGACTAAAAAAAATTGAAAATAAATCAAAACAAAATTTTTTATTGATTATTTTTGTTATAAGAAAAATATTTTTTAATTTATTCTTTTCAAAAACTTACAAAGAATTGATCCGATTGAAGCTGTTTTGGATATTCACTATAGATCTTCGTCATTGGAGATAGAGACCTTCTATTATCGGTCATTATATTTGAAAGTACTGACAGGAGAAAAAAAAGAAATTCTCAAAACACGTATAGGCAACTGATTCACGATGAATTATTCTTTCTTTTAAATAGCATTGCAAAAAAAAACAACGATGAATCAACAAACACACGTCAGAAAGAAACGGAAGGAAAAAAAACTTACCCCGTTGTTATAATTCTGATTTGAACTGGATGAGTTGTAAAAAGGTGTTTCAAAATCATCATATTCATAGGGTCTTATGATTGATTGATGACGATTGCGATCAAATGACATACCAAATAAAACAAATGAATATTTCCTATTTATAAATTTTATCTACAATTTAACAAAAAAAAAACAAAACTTTCATTCAATTTTAAACTATCAATTTTGTTCGTCATTTTTATGATTGATCAATTATTTTTCTAAATAAGTTGTTTTCAATTGTATAACTATTCAACATGCATTATAAGATTCTCTAATGATACAATAAAAAGTATTTTAATTAAATGTATACATTATTGAAGTAATTCTAGAAGCAATATATACAGAGATAACTCTCAACTCGATTAAACTTTATGATAGATATTTTTATGACCAAATTTTTATGACATGAAAATTTCCATAGACAAAATTTTAGGGTAAAACATCAAATGAGAAGCCAATAATTTTAAAAAGATCTATAGAATTTTTTTCAAGACTTCAAAATTAGTATAAATATTATCAAGACATTCTAGCACAGCATGTAAGCTGTTTATAATAGTCTTCTTCGTAGTTTTGTTTTGTCTATCAAAATCTTCAGTTCGTATGTTTTGATGTGAAACAATTGTGTCTTTTATTACTTAGTTGGAATAAACAAATAGAAATACGAAACAAAGTATACATAGGTACGGCATGTCTATTGATATAGCATTTGTTGGTTCTTTGGTTTAAATAACAAAGTATCAGAGCAAAAACGTTAATCAATAAAAAATAAAAGCAAAGTTATTGTTATTTGTGTTTTATTACGAAAAATTTGTTCCTTTGAGAAAAAAAAAAACAATATGAAAAATATAACATACAGATAATGACTAGAACTCAACATTCAACTTTGACGGATTCAAAGTAATCATAAAGAACTTTTTTCGAAATTAAATCAATAAAAACTAACACGTATTTTTGCCTTTTCATAATAACAAAATTCTTCTTTGTTGGCTAAGTAATGAACCACAATACACTATTTTGTAGATCTATAGGTAAAGTTTAAGAAAAACAAGAAAACATGAGAGAGAGAGACGGTGTCTTTACCAAGTAACACTATAAGAACTTTATATAAAAGACCAAAGAGAATTTTCTGGATTTCTCAGAGTCAAAAAGTTTGATTTCACATGGCTCTCATAATGAAAAATATATATATAAAAGGATAAAATGAAAATATTTATTTACTTTTATTATTCGTATATCTGAATACATTCGTTGCAAAATCGCTCATGGATTTGAAAATAAGAAAAAATGATGGCCTTTTTGGATTTTATATCAACAACACGAAAAAAAAAATAGTACTTCGGATGATGAAACAGACATATAAAAATTCATATTCATCGATTAAAAGTGACATTTTAATGAAGTAAATACAGTGAGTTTGATTGTTTTTATCAAAATCATGTAATAAAATTAATGACAATGTTCATTTTAATCGATCATTTCATTTTTTATGTGTCCATTTCATATCATCCGAAATGTTTTTTGTTTGATTTTTTCTTAGATCTCTGAGCATGTTGTTGATTCGATTGAAATTTCTAATTAAATACATTCGAAAAGAACTAACCTAGAAAATATGTATAACAAAAAACATCGGACATCTAAAGCAAGAAAACGTGACAATTCAATGATCAAAATCATACAAATAAAAGATATACTCCATAATTTAATCTATAATTAGACAATATAAACAAGAAGCCGACGAACTTGTCAATAGTACAATAAAATATAAGCAAAGTGCATTTTTTTTCTACTTTGTAGAATATTATTAAAGTACTTCGTTTATTTTTGAATAAAATATAAAACATAGTACTTCTTTAAAATGAAAAATACTTTGCTACTATTTATGATATTTAATATTGGAAATATTGCATATAAATAAAGTCGGAAGTCAATACTCTCCAAGAAAAAATGATTGGTAGTAATGGTAAAAAATAAAAATATAATATAAAACATCAAATTACAGATGGCGTTCACTAACAATAATAGAGTTTAAACAAATTTTTAAAAATATTTTAACAACTTATTATAACTTAAAAATAAAAAAATAAATATACATTTAAGAAAAAAAAAACATCTCTTTTTACACTTAAATTTGAAATTGTTCGAAAAAAGAACATTCTTCACTAATGTTACGTAATAAATTGATAATACTAATCAATAGAGCATTCTGTTGTGGTGATAAATTGAATAATGAATGATAATCTATGTCAACAATTAAAGGAATTAATGGTGTTTGTTTAGCATTATAAATAGCTCTCTGTAATTGTGCTTGTTCTTCTTTAATTTGTTCATGTGATTTTGTCAAATAATCTTCTTCTTGTGTTATGTTTTCGATTGGTTTTAATGATTCAATATTAATTTTTTTATTATTCACAATTAATTGATTTTTAAGTTCATTTGAATCTTTTGATATATGAGTTGTATCAAATGTCAATGGTATACGTCGATGACGATGACGATTTCGAATAGGATAAGGACAAGAAGATTTTCGAGAACGTTTTGAATGAACATTTACGAATCCTGATAAAATCTAAAAGATAAATTTTTATAGAATGAAAATTTTTTATTTCAGATAATTACCTGTTTGGATTTAGTATTTGAAAATTTTGATTGAATATGTTCTTGATCAGATTTTTCTAATAATAATGAATAAGAACAAAAATCCATGTCGACGTTTGCCGATTGCATGAATGGAGACTTATATTTGTAATTGAGATAAAGAAAAAAAGAGAGCAATCAACCTTTTTATTTGTATGTCAAATAAGTTTGACGATAAAACAGAAAACTAAATTATATATACATAAATAAATATATGTATATGTACTATATGTCATATCTTTCTCGGACTAGACCAAGAAAACATTTACTAAATGCAATTCGTATTCATTTGTTATCAATAGATATCTACACAGGTGAGTAAGAAAAGAAAAAAAGACACAATATCAATGATTTATTTATTGGTTTAAAAAGAACGTAAACTGGATTTGAATAGCGCACATTTTATTTGCTTATATCACTTTAACGAACGATCAATATAAATATAAATAAAGTTTGAAGGCCATTGTTTTGTTTTTTTTGTCATAATTCGCACTATTAATCAGAATGTATCATATAATGAATGTAGGCGACCGTGATGTGATTAAGGTTGTCTTGATTAAATCATTGTTATTCTTGATTTATTATTGGTTGTATCTATTTTATTAAAATATATTTCATTTTGAATATAAATACAGTTTAAAATGTAGAAAAACATTTATGTATGAATTGATATGAAACAGATAAGTTTTTAGAACATCTTATAATCAAATTCTACTTAGGAAAGAAAAACACTTTTCAAAGAATATTTATATTTTAGAAAAAAAAAGGATAAGCAATTAATGATACATACATTTTATTCGTCGTATGATTATGTACGCCTAACAATGATTTATATTGATGTTTAAAATCAAATATGCATTTTCGATTATACAAGATTGATAACAAAATACAATTGATGAGGTCAATGGTTTTCTTCAATTAATTGATAATGACACAATAAACAATAATAATATATATTTAAGCAATGTTATTAGTAATCGTTACATGAGTAGTGCAAAACTGATATTAAAAATAGAATAGTTTCTACTCAAGCTATGTGACAAAAAAAAGAAATAGATTGATTATTTTAATGTTAATATTAGAATTAAAAAATGATTGTTAATGTAGATGACGAAAATACAAGATGATACGACCCAAGATCCATATCTTTAAAAACATTGTCGATGAATATTCTCTTTTATTTTTTATCTTGTCATTTTCATGAAATTACAAATATCGACTTTGTTCTATAAAAATTTCATAGCAACAACTCAACCTTATCTTTACATATGTGCCAATATTAAAAAAATTGTTTAGCAGTCTTCTCTTTTCATTATCTATTACCATTTTCAAGATAGAGTAAAAACCTTACTATAGAGAGATTGAATGTTTCCAAAAAGTAAGAATTTTTGAAAAGACGGACACGATCTTTTAGTTATATGTAGACGTGTAGTGAGTTACATAACTGATCAGGACACTTTATCAACGATCATCTGAGATTTTTATCGTTAAAAGCAATGTTAGCAATCAGCAGCTGTTGCAATAACTTTTAATAAAATTTTGTTTTGAAAATATTTGCTGAATATGATTGAAGATCAGAAGTTAAAATGCGTAGATTAGCTGTTGAATGGATGCAAAAAAAGTTTGTTGTCGAGTTGATATTGAAAATTAAACCAAACAGGATAGAAACGATCTCAAAATTGAATTACTTTTTGAATAAGAGACAAGTTTTAAGTTCATTAGTAATCAACGATCATCATTTAAATAAGAATTTAATACTAATGGTCTAAATTTTTAGTCTCATTCAGGAATTCGCGTAACGAAAAAATATAGGCTTCTCATCGCTTTCAATGATTCTGGCAAATCTAACTAGTTTTCTTCCAAAGAGACAATATCATCTTTTCTTTATCAACATTAATCAACCTCCATTAGCTGTTGATTAACACCATAGTAGTCAAAGTTCAGAATGTAAAAATCAATGCCTATCGGGGCGCAAAGAATCTATAATAGATTTGAAATTTTATTTGAATTTGCTTTTGGACCAAATCCATATAAACAATTTACAATTTGATGATTGTTATTGAAACGCAAACTATTTATATTACTTTTATCCTAGTCCAAGTCAAATAATATCAACTCCTAAGGCCTTAAGTTTGTTGCACTCCTACAAGTTAATGAACTCAGCAGCTATTGATTGCGGATGAACGATTTCAACTATTTTGTCAGAATACTAAAGAACGGTTTTCATTATACAGAAGTTCGATTCCACAAAAAATCGTACCATCGGAATCATCAAGTGTTCATTATCGAAACGTTTTAATCTATTCATCTGTCTTTGATTTCAACGCTGATAAGAAGTTTTTCAATGGTATGTTTCTTTCGATTATTATTCTGTCAACGCTACCATATACATTGACGACCAACATTATTCAACACGGTTTATTTTTGATTTCTTTTTACGATGCCATCATTTTTAGAATAAATTCAAATATAGACAATGATTTTCACGAAGAATATAAGCCAATAATAATTATAATTAGATTCGCAAAGATAAGAACTCTAAAAAACGCAAACTCAATTTTTTAACATCTACAGTGGGTAAATTGAGTGAAATACAGCAATTTGGTTGCAGGTCAAAAAAATGTTTTTCTATAGAAAATCAGAAAAAAAGCGACTTTATGATTACTGTAGTTCAGTTAAAAAGCTTCGTGGAGAACTAGAAGACGTGATATTTTGTAGAAATTATTATATTTAGTCTAAACAAAATTATATTTTCAGTTTTCAGATACTAAACAACTAGTCTTTTAGTTTTCTATTATTCGTATATTTGTGCATCAGATAGTAATATTTATTTTCTTATTTGACTTTTGAAAACCATTTCCTACATTCGAATCACTATTTCGATTCTTTTTCATGCTTACGGCAATAGAACAGAATAAAACTTCTTGAATAATTTTGGGATTTTATGTATATCATATTCAATTCATGTTTTCTTTTTATACACTAAATATATACATTTGAAAAAAAAACATCCATGAATGAAATCATTCATTTTACATCAATGTTTAGATTGAGTCGAGATAAAGAACAGTCTTTTCTTCTAATAATAGATTCATACTTTTTTATTAATTGACGTAGAAAAATAATAAGGTCTACTACATTTTTTTTGCAATAAGCACATCAATTGTATATTATTTATCAACAAAAGAAAAAGAAGAAGACAAAAAGAAAATAGAGTTAACAAAAAATATCTCTTTAACTATCCCAAGTTAATTTTGTCGCGTGAAATGAACGTTGTAATGATGTTTTCGTAAAACCAAGATAATCAAGTTCTGCTAATCCATGAATAAAACGTGCTCTAGAAAATTGAAAAATAAAAACTGCTTATTTTTCTATGATAAAATTTTTATAATTCTTACAATATTGATTTATCTTTATCATTCACAATTATTTCTTGCTCTTCTAATAATACTGCAAATGACTAGATGAAAAAAAAAATACATATTATTTTTAATTATTTCAATAAATCTTACATCAAACCAATCACTAAGTGGAATTTTAGTACCAGATTCAGAATAAATACGATAAAGTAAAGCTAAATCAGGTGTTTGTTCTCGTTTCCAATGTAGAATATCTGTTAATTCTCGAATAAATATCCCACGCGTCATAGGTATTAATCTTTCATGTAAAAGATTATCATTAATTTTAGTTGAGCTATTTATTATTGGTGATATAAATGTTTCACAAATTTGTTTAAGCCATAGAAAAACTTGTTCACGATATCGATTTAATTTTCTATCACCAACTGAACGTAATGTATTACTTAATGATTGTGTATCATCAACAATTGATTGTTGTTGTTCAATAAAAATCTTTTTAGCTAATTGACTATATTTCATACATAGAGAATTTTCATTACATTTATGTTCAATAAATGAATTAAGACATGTATCAAGTTGATGAAGTGTTGATGAATTTATTGATAATGTTAATTCATTAAAAAAAAAAGTATTCGATAGATAAAACGCATAAAATGATGAACGATAACGACCAAGCGGATAATTTGGTAATTGATTACATGAAACATATATAGCATTGAATAGACAAATATTAAGTTGATTAGTTTGTTGAGAATTTGTTTCAGAAAATGCAATAAACTAAAATAAATATTTATTTGGTTTCAATAGTATTTTGACTTAAGATTTCGCCCAAAAAGAAGTCTATTTGTCAGTAGAATACCTTGAAAATTTTAGCTAAAAGAAGTTTCCTTTCCAAGATATTGAAGTTCCAAAAAACAGAAAATTCTCGCATTTTTCGTTGAATATGAGTGATTTTTGAGACTTCAATACCTTGGAAAAGAAATATCTTTTTAAGCTGAAGTTTTCAGAACATTTTTCTAACAAATAGATTTGTCTATGGAGAAAGTACCCTCATTCGATTTGTTGGGTATATACCATGCTTGAAACTTGAATTTTAGTAAAATGCCTATAACTCTGAATAGAAGGCCTAAGGAGACTTCTTTTTTTCAGGTTTTCTATATTTCACTGAATTCTACTTTATGCACAGAGTCCGAACTCAAAAGTAATTGGTCAGTTGAAAAGTGTTCCCTTGTCAATCGTGATTTTTAACTTATTCAAAAATCTCACTTTCTTTTTATTAGGAAAGAAACATGAAAAAATTTAGATCTAAAAACTAAGAACTGACGTTCAGAGAATACATTCTATTCCGCGATGTTGAGCATTGCGGAATCAGTTCCGCTTCCGGAACCAGTTCCATCCAATTCCGGGAACTCGATCATCATTCAGTATAACAGATCTACTCGTTATTGGCCGAGTTCCATCAAATTCCCGGAATTCTCAGCAATTTCGGAATCGCACGAAATTCTGTGCAATCCCTTGTAACTCAGTCTCGACTCAATTCCCGGAATTCCGTACCGGAATTACTTCCCACCCTCTGCCTCACGCATACTGTTGTGACTGAAGATTATTCTCTCGGATAAGTAAGCAATTCCGGTACGGAATTCCGGGAATTGCTTCGAATTCCGAAATTGGTGGAGATTTCATCTTCACTCAATTCCCGGAATTGGACGGAATTCCCGGCAATTCTGTCTC